GGAGGCTCGGACCGGCCTGTGCCGGGCCGGCGGGGCCTCACGTGCTTAGAGAATCACCGGGGAGCTTGAACACCTGACACCCGCCCACCCAGACTTGCCCTCAGGTGGGGAGGTCCGGGCCACTGCCTAAGGGGCCCAGCGCTGCCCAGCGGGAGCCTCAGGGCAGCTGGGGATGGGAGGGCCAAGACATGGGCTCTGCTGCCCCGGCGCTGATTGAGGGGCCACTCAGGCCGAGTCGGGGGCTGGACTGCCCAGCCCTTTGTGCTTAAGTTTTTGTGATGTCATGAGAGCATTCTTTATAACTTAAAATCTTTCAAAATCATAAAATCTGTAGGACAGTATGAAAGGTGATGCTAACCTTGGGACCAGAGCTGCTCACAGAAAGGACTTTGATCTTGAACCGGAAACTCCCTCCCAATACCTCGGGCCCTGGTGCTTCCACCCAGGCCTGCGGGCAGTGCGAGGCTGGAGAGGTCGGCATCTTGCCCCTTGGCTGGCGCCCGGCCGGGGTGACTCAGGCTGCAGCAGAGGCTGGTGCTTGGGGCACATGGCCCAGGCTCCCTACCGTGTCCCTAGGCCTCGCAGGCCATTTTGGGCTTCAGGAAGAGGTCAGTCTCCGTCCTCCAGCTGCAGGCCCTGGAGGTTTGGTGCCTTGATGGTAGCACGGACGGTCCGGTGCGCGCTACCAGCAGAGCGGGACCATCGCTCATTCAGATTTGGGTGGGGGCCCAGAAGGAGCAGCTCAGGCAGGGCCGGGCCAGCTGGGAACTTGCTCTGGCTTGGCCGGCAGCCTGCACCTGCACCTGCCTCTGACTCTGCCCGAGAAGCACCAGGCCCGGGGCTTGGGATCCCAGTGAGCAGTTGCCCTGGGCCAACCAGAGCTGCAGTGTGCTGCAGCTTCTGCTGCTGCCCAGTGACCGTGCTACTGCCAGTGCTGTCCAGCACTGCTGACAAGTGACCAGCACCCTGTCTGGGCCACTTCTGAGAGCTGCTGTCATGGTGTATCTGTTCACCCAGCACTGTCTCAGCCGTCTGGTCCAGTGCACGGTGCTGTCCATGTGGCCTTCCGGCTGCGGCGTCCTCAGCGGCCCAGCTTTGGTGAGTGGGCTCCAGGCCCTTGGCTCGCTGACTGCCGTGCATCCAGGTCCTCGCTGATGGGATGGCGCCACCACTGTGGCCTTAGAAATTGTTCCCTATCAAGAAAACGCCAGTTGTCCCGAGCCTGAGCACGCTCGTTGTGTGTGAGGGTGAAGGACCCACCGTGACTGTGCTGCCGGCCCGTCCTTGCTCGGCTGTGGCCCTTTCACGCTTTCGAGTCAGAACTCAGGTTCGTCCGTTGAAACCTGCCTTCAGATGCAGGCCATCAGCGAGGCCACGCTGCGGGCTAACAGGTGGGGCAGCGTCAGCACGCGCGGGCAGGCGCATTCTCAGACCCTCCGAGGGCTTGACAGGTCTGTGACGCTGCATCAGGTGCCCTGGCAGGGGGCCCGGGGGCCGCCACCTGCCCTCCCGGTCTTGCCTCCTCTCCCAGAGCTGCAGCGCTGGCTTTAGCTGCTCCTGTAGGCACAGGCCAGCACATTGCACATACGCAGGCCCACGCTCCGGCTCAGGGGCCATACTCACAGGTGCGCTTGCCCTGCGCCCAGGCCTCGATGGGCACCGGCACCGGCACTGGGGCGGGAGGGTGCACATAGCCTGGGAACTTCACTGCCCCGACACGGGGCACCGAGGCTGGCGTGGGGCACCTCAGAACCAGGCCGTGGCGGAGCAGCAGACCATGCTCGTCCTCTGCAGACCGGTCAGCCTGTTCAGAGGCACCGCCTGTGCCCCTCATGCCCGCGCGACACTGCCAGTCTGAATGACAGCAGTGGCAGGAAACTGGGCGCACATGCTGTTCACGTGTGGCACAGGAGACACCCGAACCCCTTGACCCTGTCACAAAAACGAGGTCAGAACAGCTCCAAGTCGAGCGTGCAGAGAACCACATCAGGAAAGTGCTGACCCCAGACCGTACCTGCGTAAACGTGCAAGTTAAGGAGCTCTGGCGAGACTGAGGAGGAAAGAAATAAAAAGGGGCTTAAAGCTTTAAATGATCTTGAACTCACTGATTCAGAATCTGGGTGGGAAAACACGAGTCGCTGCGTACCGAAAGTGCAAGCCGCCCAGTCAGACCCCGCTGGCCGCGCCACCACAGCCTGCCGGTGGCCGGTCCTGAGATGGCGGCCAGGTGGCAGCTGAGGCCACGGACAGGTGGGCGGGTGACTTCAGCCGGGACCAGGAGGTGACAACAAAGGCCACCTGACATCACAGGGACGCCGGCTACCCGAGAAACGAATGTTTATTGACGTAACAGCAGCCGCACGAGCAGGAAACAGCCGGCAGGTGCAGGTCAGTGTACCGGCGTCAGCGCCTCGTACAGCCGCTGCGCAGCCAGCTCCACCATCTCCCGGAGGGACTCGTCGTCCTCACTCCCCTCCTCACACTCCACGGTCTGCAGGGGAAGACAAGCAGGGCTTGCACTGGAAGGCCCAGGACGGCTGCCCCGGGGTACTAACACCTGTCAGAGCCGCCCTCCCGGGCCCCTCGGAGTGCAGGCGTTAAGGGCAGCAGTGCCCCTAGGAAGCTTCGGTGGCTGGTGGCTTGGGTGCGAATCCGTCAGGCAGGTGGCCGCAGGGCACACGGACCCCTCTGGCCTCCTGCGGCCCCCCACCCCGGCAGCGGGCTTCAGTGAACCCGTCTGTTCTGCGCCTGCTCCCTGGAGGGGTCCTCTCACCCCCACCCCTGGCCTGCACCCCAATTCTTGTGCACACAAATAAAAGAAACCTTAAAAAAAAAACCCTCCTGCAGGGCAGAGGTGATCGAACAGGGAGTGATGGACAGGTACCTGGCCAGAGGACCCGGGTCTGCTTCAAAATTAAGTTTTGGGAAATAAAAATAAATGGAGGAAGCGGACGGAAACCAACGGGCAGTCTGCGACCGACTCACTGTACAGCGTGAGTCTTCGCCTAGTAAACGGCACACAGCTGGCTTAGCCAGAAGCGGCGTGGTTTCTCCTGGCGCTTGGCCCCTGTGTGCCCAGCACCACGAGTGGCCTGTCACACCCCAACTACAAGAGCCCATGTCGCTCGTCTGAAGAGCCGGGCGGGACAGAAACACCATGACCTGACTGCCGCTGTCGCGAGCCGGTGTCTGGCCTGCGAGGCTCGTGCTGCCCCCACAGCAAACAGGGAACCCCTCACACCGCTCTCCGGGCCGCGCCCCACCCAGCAGCGCGGGCGCCGCAGTGGCCCCAGGGACCCTGGGCATGCCCGGTGCGAGACAGCGCGGTGTCAACTACAGCTGAGCGCACGGGCGAGCGCGGTGGACAGGCGGCCGCACTGGCAGGCCACGCGGTGGCGAGGGCGGGTGCAGGGCTGGGGTTAGGGCCTTCACCGTATGCCCGGTGCCTTGAGATTTAGCAACAGCTACGTACCCGTGTCTCCAGGTTTATATTAGCAGTTTTTCCATCCACGGTGACCCCGAGAATAGAACCATCTTTCACACTCACACAGTCTTCTCCAAATATGTCCCTTCGGGCAGACAGAGGCAGAGTGAGTGGAGAAGGTCTGCAGCCAGGGAAAGCTCAGTTACGTACTTGGGGAAACGGCACTGCAGGCCCCAGCTCTGGAGAGCCAGGGCCCCGCCGCGCCCGAGCCCTGGGCTGGGTCGCGCGCTGGGTGGAGGGTGTCGCTAAGGACCCGCTGCTCTTACCACTCCTGTGCCCCCACCTTCCTGAGGTCATCGCAGCCCCCGCTTTCCCAGAGTGCCCTGGCAGCAGCACCGTGCCAGGCGGGAGGCGAAGAGCAGCATCTGTGCGAAGCCGGGGGCAGCAAGACTGTTTGCCTTCACTCTGCGATCGCAGATGCCACCCGGCTCCGCACCAGACACCTCCACCCCAAGGAGCGGTGTGCGCCCAGGGCCCAGGTGACCCTGCAGGAGAGCGCTGCGTCCTTGGTTTGTGAATTCTCAAAAGCACAGAAGAAGTTTCATTTCCAGGCACTGGCCGGTGGGGCGAGGGACAGTCGATGGGCTCGTGGTGCTTTTAAGAACACAAGCCACTTGGCTCTGGTCTTCACGAGGGCACGGCCAGCTCGCCTCACAGGCCGCCTCTGAGAGCTCGGGTGTTTGCAGACGGTGTCAGGGAGGGTGGGGGCAAAGCCGAGGGACGTCAGCCACGGGCCCCTGCGGCTCCCGGGCAGCTGAGCGTAGGGCCTGCGTGTCCCGCTGGGAGCCTTGGGAAGGACACTGCCCAGGGCAGAGCTGCCTGGTGCCCAGCCAGCACAGCTCCCCCCATGCGATGCTCTGGAGCCTGCGGCCCCATGAACTGACCACATAGGTGCTTCCTCCTGGGAAAAGGCCACTCTGCCCAGCTGTCTGGGGCCAGTGAGCGACCACGACTCGGAGACTCGGGCTAGCAGGGGGCTCCCAGCGGGGTGGGGAGGGGCCTCTGCCGGGCAGTAGCAGCCGGCAGCAGCCCTGTGATGGTGCTGGCTGCGTGGCACATGACTGCCTCTAAAACCCAAAATGATGGCGGCGAGGATGCCCCTCTGACGGTGTCCACAGGCTCTGGGAGCGCTCACCACCGAAAGCCTTCATCGCCCAGCCCTTAAAGGCCACTAAATGGCTGCTTGAGCAGGAAGACCTGGGAGCCGTTGGAGGGCAGAGCCATAAGTTACCCTAAAACCTGGAACAGAGCCCCTTCTCTTGTTAAAAGGTCTGATCAATCACCGGCAAAGTACACTCAGAAGCAGCCTGCGCACTGCGAGCGCTCTCGAGGTGGAGGACACCATGCTCACGCGGAATTAGAAAGCTAAGCTCAAATTTGAAAATTTCCCTCTTACAGTTTACCCATTTACACTGTGCTTGTCTACACGGAGGCATTTTATGTGATTATTTTGTCTAGAAAACATTCTGAAATCACGTTTGATGAGCACCAGGAGAAAGGTGAAAGACCTAAAGCTGAGTTTAAAAGCCACAGTGGGGCCTCCCTGGGGGTGCAGCGGGTTGAAGCACAGCACTATGAAGCAATCGCAGCCACTGCGGCCTTAGTTCAATCCCCAGCAGCCAGGGAGTGACCCATGTGGCACAGCAGACCTCTCCTGTCCCGCCCGCTGCTCCCCTCAGCAGTGGACTTCCTCAATCTGCCTGTCCTGCTCCCAGCTCTATCTCTGGGGAATCCTCTCACCCCTGCACCTCTGGCCTGCACCCCAGTTCTTATATGCATCAATAAATAAATCTTAAAAAAAAAAAAAAGCAAAGCCACAGTTAACAGACTTACTACCTAAGAAAAGTGCAAAAAGAAAACTCACATTTCAAGAGAAGTGAACATATAGCGATTCCTACAGGCGCAGGAACATCAGGTCAGCACTTAGCCCTACCCCCCTACCCTTCCCGTCTGAATCCCTGCTGACCACGGGCCAGGCAGAAGGGCAAGCCCCGAAGCAGGGGAAGGCGCTGGGCAAACATCTCGCTTAGGTGAGGTCTCAGGTGAAGGAAGTGATTCGAACCGCTTTGGGATGGAGCAGGGACCCCCCGCCCCCCCAGGGACAGCGGGGAGAGAGCACTTACTGGAGCATGATCTCCAGCCTCTTGCTGTACACGTGCATTTCCAATTTTTTGGAAACTTTCTGCACAGCACCTGAGGGAAAGAAAGAAACAGATTCGATGTCCACACTCCTACTGGACTACGTCCCAAACCAGTAATCAGACATGGTCATGGGTAAATCAGTCATGAACTACTGAACCCCTTGAAGGCCCCCGGCAGCCCCCAACCTGCTGTGGCAAACTGGTCTTTTGTCACTTCATTTATGCTCTTGTCAAAGATTCAAAAATGACATTTCAAAGATATTTTAAACTATTTCCAATGTTTCTCAAGCTTTTCCACATTTCTGTGTGAACAGAGCTGAGTGGAACTCCAACTCCAGGAGTTTGAGGGGCACAATGAAGCTTAAGAGATCTCTGAAGTTTTCTTTGATTAAGACATTACATAAATTTTGCTTTATACTATATATAAATCATCTATATTTGGTTTAAAAACTAGTATTTAAAGTGACTTGCCAATGAGATGACTTAGCCCCCCCAAACACAGTAATCTGACAGCTCAGGAAGAGGCGCCCCACGCGCAGCTCCCAGCCAGCGCTGGCCCATCCCCAAGCACCTCCCAGGCCATAACAAACGAGCAGTTCCTCAACAAGCTGGACAGAGTTACCACACGGCCCCGTCATTCTTCTAGACATCGTCTCAAGAGAAAATCATAGGTCTACACAAAAGCTGTACGTGAAAACTTAGAGCAGCAGTACTTATAACAGCCAAGAGGCAGGAACACCCCAAATGTCCAGTAGCTAATGAACTGGACAAGTGTGGCCTGTCTGTGGTGGAACATTCCATGGCAGTGAAAAGGAGCGCCGTGCTCACGCACACCACCACGCGGTAAGCCTTGGCAAGTCAGAGAAGCAAGACATGAAAGACAGGATGGTGTGAGATGCCACTTACAGGAACAGTCCAGACCAGGTTACTCGAGAGAGTCCAAGAGCAGATAAGCAGTTGCCCAGATGTGGGCAAGAACTGGAGAGTCCAGCCAACAGTCACTACTTGTCTTTCTGAAGTGGCATAAATGTTCTGAAGTTGACTGGCGAGTCCATTCCGTGGAAGAGTCAAACTGACCCTTCTCAGCTGTTCTGTAACTCAGACCACAGCTCCGCTAACTGTTTCTAGCGCTAATTATTTTAACTGAGTATACAACTACCTAGATGCCGGTCATAAAAGCTGTATAATAAAACCTTTGTCCTTTAATCATAATCATTAACATTTTACCAAGTATAAAATACACACTTAATGGACACGTAAAAATCTCATAACATATTGAAAAATAAGCTATGAAACTATCAAAAGAAACCTCCCAAAGTATGTGTGCACCTGTATTTGCGTACTCACTGTTACACTGTCGGACAGCTACCCTGCCCGGAGCCTCACCAAGCGCGAGATCTCACGCACACACACGCCTCCCAACAGGCGCTGAAAGCCCGTAAGACAGGAGACAGTGGCATGTAGGAACGGAACAGGAAACACTTGGAAAGTGCATGAGCTTCCCTGGCGTCCCCAGTGAGAACCTCACAGCGGCTGCACCGCGAGCCAGCAGCTCGGATGCGCGCACTCTGCGCTCCCACCGGACTCGGGGAGTCAAGGCTGAGGAAGCAAAACACCGGGCTGGGCCGGAGGCCCCAGGCTGCTTCCAGAGGGGCCCGGGGAGGGCTGGCAAGTCCCCCGCAGGCGCAGGCTGCGATTCTGTGGCCATGCGGCGTCTGCTGCAGCCACCCGCTGTCGTAGCCTGAGCAGCAGCGCGCGCCGGCTGTGCCGCAGCAAGGCTTTCTTTACAAAAACAGGTGGAGGCTGGGGCTGGGCGCTAGTTTCTCCCTCTGCTTTACAACGACAAATTTCTGCATTGGCCAGGACACGGTCTATTCACTAAATAATAAATGTACGGAACGAACACCCTCAACTTGCTCCTGTGCAGCCAAAGTCCCATGACACGCCTCATCTTCGGACGTGCAGCCCCATGGGTGACGTCTCAGGCTCCTCATCAGACACCTCTCGGCCCACCGTCTTCTCACTTTAAAATGCATCTGTCTAGTTTCCTTCTCTCACAACCTCGGTGTAACCCACCAGGGAATACATTTTGGCTTTCCCTTCTAGGCACCTGAAGAATCCCAACACTTGCTCCTGTCTCCGCCCCTCCTGCCCTGGCCTGAACCTCCACCTCCCACCTGGCCCACCTAACTGGAACCTCTATTTTCAGACTTAACCTCCTAAAGATCCACTCTCAGTAGGCGCCCCACAGTGCAGCCCATTTACTCAGACGGCAAGTCCAAAGCCCTGGCGATGGCCAGCAAGGCCCCGCGCAGCCTGCCTCCTGTTCGGAAGCCAGCAGCGCTGCACCTGGAGGGGGCCCTGCTGCTCACTGATGCCCCCTGAGCACCTGGACGCCTGGCCAGCAGCAGGTGCACGAGAAGTACCTGT